GCCCATTTGATCTAAGATAGTAGGGTTGAAATAACTCTTTAGACAAAGCTTCAAGTGTTTCTCACCCAAGGAAAACAAATAGTTTTTACAACAGTGGATGGGAACATCTGCTTTCTTGTGTCTTTAAATAGTTTGATTTACTTTATTTCTCCTTTACTTCCTTATTTTTGTAACAGGGGATGTGACATGGTGATATTATTTTGTTTTGCCCAAGTGGGTTATGTATGTCCCAAGGGGTCTACCTAGAGGTAGCAAGAATAGATATCTCAAGCATCTCTTCTTTCACCCTTCTCCAAGGGATACTTAGATTTTTGCCAGTAAGGGAAACAGGATGTTGGAGTCAGAGTCTAGCCACTTTACTCTTCTCAGAGGGAGGAGGTACTGGGCTAGAATTGCATCTGTCTGTTCCCTTAAATATTATCAGTCTAGGGGATGTAATTTCTAGATTTGAGCTAAACTCCTGATTGCTATTCCTTAATGGGGAAGGGGACCCCAAGGTTTGACTCCATTCAATGAATGCAAATAGTAAATAAACCCATTTGTTCAAGTCAGTAGCAAAACAGAAATCAGAGAAAGTATGTATAGGAGAATATATACCATAAAATACACAGAATAAACGGATTCTCCCATTGGGAGCAAGAGAACTCAGAGAGAGCAGGAGAGAGAGGAGAAAGAGATGATGGGGTATAGGCTGAATTCTCCCAGTTGATCAAGGAAGTCTCTAGCTTTCCCCTGAGACTACAATCTGGGCAACTGGCCTTTCATTGTGGCTGCTTTGATAGTGACTATGCCCAATATCCCACTTCTGTTACCTCTGATCCAGCCCAACCTTCATTATCTGTTACCTCCCTATTGCCTCCTGCCACTTTCCACCCTTGATCCTATTTAGACCCCTCCTCCAGTCACCCCAGCCTACTGGCCACCTCCATCAAGATCCTCCCTACACCCCTCCTCACAGTCACCTGAAACTCCTTGGCCACTCCTAGATCCCTCCCAAAGTCCTTCTGTATATGAGGTCTATCCTTCCACTAAGGTGCTCAGATTCTTTAAGAGTCTAGCCAAGTGCTCAGATTCTTAAAATCTAGCCAATGGCTGAGATTTACTCTAGCCTGATTGTCAATACAAGCATCACAAATGTTCAGATTCCTTAAGAGCCTGGACAATGTGGTGAATCTTTAATAAACTTTATCTTTGGTTGAAAGAAAGCTTGGGTCAAATTCATTTGGGTAGGACCCTGTGTCACTATGTTGGGGTCCCAGCACCCCTAAACTCCTAAACCTCAACATATGGATCCCTGAACCTCAACACAGAGAGAAAAGAAACAGAGAAAAGAAACAGAGAGAGGAGAGAAGAGAAAGGGAGGGAGAGAAAGAAGAAAAAGAGAGAGGAGAGAGAGAGA